CCTCTCTGCGGCTTAATGTCCTCTGAAATCCCTTTTGTTGGATATTTTCAATGCTGGGGAGAGAGAGGGGGCATGTGAGGTGACTCAGTGGAGCAGGACTGGAATTGGTTCAGTGGGAGTGAAGGGGGGATTTTGATTTCCACCCCAAAAGTCCCTTGGCCGCCGGTTGGCAAATGGATTCATCAATGTCCCGCGTGTGAAGGAGAATTTATTAGTCATAAATAGCAAGTTTTGAGCAGGCTGAGGGAGTTTTATCAACCAGACTGGGTTGATGCCTCAGGGGCTGGGTCCAGCCCTGTAGCAGAGCTTGATCAATTTTGATTTGATGAATTTTTCTGAAGAATTTGCTGGGAAATAGATTTCTTTTTTTTTCCTTTCGTTGCTTGTGGATCTTGCTCAAGTGACTGCATGGTCACTTTGCCTTGAGCACTGTAGTGAGACATCAAAGCTGGGAATGATGCTGGAGGAAAATGGGGTCTTGTCCATGTAGCTGGTGTCTTATCTGTCTGTGTCTTATTTATCTTCTCTAGCTTATCTAAAATAAAAGTATGGTGACAAAAGTCACCCGTGGCATATCCAGAGTGTGGGAAATGCTCTTTACCCATGACCCTGAACTCCTGGATGCAGAGCAGGGCTGGTGGATGGAGAGTTTGTGGGGGCTGAGTGAGGCCAGCTCAGTGATTAAACCCAGGGATTTTATTGAACACCATTAAAATAAATTAAAAAAAAAAAAAAAAGGCCCAAAATGTAATTTTCCTTCTCCTGTGAAAAATGCTGGTGGATTTAATGCACCTTCATTCTGGGAGCCTGGAGGTTGGTGTTTCCCAGGTCCAAGCAGGTGCTGCACCTCCATCCTCCCCCTGGGCCGTGCCCTCGAGGGAGCAGATGTGGAAAGGAAGGAAGGAAGGAGATATTGAGCCCATATTTCATTGTGGAGTTAATTCAGCCCAGGGGGAACATTCTGAAGTGCCCATGTGGAGAGAAGCACAAGGGGATGTCCGAGCGTGTGGAACCCCCGGAGCCGCTGGACATTCCCAGGATAGAGATCCCAACCTTCCCCTTCCCCAGGCCAGGATTGCTTGGTGCTCCAAGGAACTGGGGGGCACCTTCTGGCTGCCAAAAGCTCGGCCTAAACCATCAACCCCCAGTGTCTTTGCAGCCTCCTTCCCATCAGGATGGATTTAATAATCCTGGTTGGAGCGGGATTCAAAGCAGGGCCAGGGAGGTGAAAGGGCAATTGCTGGTTCACTTGGCCACCTGTTTCCTTCCCTTTGGTTCATATTTAATTTGTGTTGCCAAATTCCTTCCCCTTCTGATATCCTGAAAGTCCCCTCGGACACCCCCTCGTGCAAACAGAGCTGGTGGTTTTGGGGTGCCTGGTTTTTCCTGGGGTTGTAAGTGTGTAAATATTCATTTGCCTTTATCATTGGGAAGGGAAAATAAACTTTAAAAGCCGTTTTCCTGCCCCCTCCCTTTTTAGTTTTGTCTAGTAGAGCTGATCATAAAAAGGGGAAAGTGCAAAAATGTTTTCAAAACTCCCCATCTCCTGCCCTTTAGCCTCCAAAATAGATGCAGAATTCAAGTTTTCAGCTACTGCTCTGCCAGCTCAGAACTAGAAAGAAACTTCCCACATTTTTTTGAACTTAAAAAAAAGGGGAAAAGCATCTTTTTAAGTAATTTTAGAATTTAGAAAAGGAGAAACAAGTCAGTGTGCAGAGTTTGCTACAGCACATCTTTTCCATGGTTCTCAAACGATCCCATTGCTACCTGACAGTATTGGGAGCATTATGCCAAGGTGGAATGATATCTAATTATTTCTCTCCTTTCTTTGTTTTCCATTTAATTTGTCCTTATCATTCACTCCTTGAACTCTGCTTAATATATTCCCACCAAATATTTCTTGCAAGGTGTTGGTGTCTTATGCCCAAACGAGAGGAGAGTCCTCCAGGTCTGCTGGAGTCTCCTGGGGTTGTCCCATCCTCACATCCTCTGGCTCCTTTTCCTTCTAGTCCCTCCCATGTCCTCTCCTCATCCAGAGGGAGGAGGATTGGGGTCCATCAGAGGTGCCCCAGCCTCTCTGGGAGCAGGGAATGGGGAGTTTTCCCGGGCTTTGATCTGGCAGCATAATCTGCTGCAGCTGCAGAGCCCAGGCTGGTTCAGTGGACACACAGAAATCATGGAAATGGGTTGGGAATTGTCAGCAGGCTGGGAGAAACCCCGGGAATGCGAAACCCCGGCAGATGTGGGGATTCCCAGCTCCTCCCTTCCTCCTCCCACCCTCCTGTGCTCACTTGGACCCAGAGACCACGTCTCAAACTTTGCATCTCCCAGAGAATGGGAGCTGACTTCCAAGAAAAATGGCAGCAGGAAGCAAATAATTGGGTAAAAACCGAGTCCATCCAAGTGTGGAGCATCAAGGTTTGTCAGGACCCACCCTGGTGGGACCATACCCAGGGACCCACAGCACCAGGATGAGAGGAGATGGCCTGAAATTGCACCAAGGCAGGTTTAGTTGGATATTAGGAGAAAATTCCTTGTGGAAAGGGTTGTCCAGCCCTGGCACAGCTGCCCAGGGCAGGGGTAGAGTCACCATCCCTGGGGGTGTGGATGTGGCACTTGAGGACATGGTTTTGTGGTGCTGGTGATTGTTGGACTTGATGATCTTGGAGATCTTTTCCAACCTCAGTGCTTCCATGATTCTTCACAGCAGGATCATGGAGTGACCCACCACGTTCTCCTTTCGTGGTTCCTCCTCAGCAGAGCTGAAGCCACAGAACACGGAGGTTTTCTGTGCACTTCATGCTCTTGTTTCTTGGCCCAAATTCTTGGGAAAACTGGAAAACTCCCTTGCCAGTGTGGAAGTGGACCCAAGGCAGCAGCAGGGGAACGATGACTTGAAACACCCCCTAATTATGAGAGTGGGAGTTTTCTGTGCTGAAAATCAGCTTTGATGTTAAGGGTTTTAAGTGACTTTCCTGCTTGAAAGCTTCATAGTAAACAAAATGTGATGAACTGTCTTAGTGACTCATTGCAGGGAAGATTTGGATTGTCAGTGTGGTGCTTTTCTCTCAGATACTTGATTTAATTATCCCTGTGGAATCCTAGAGCTGGAGAACAGTCTGGGCAGGCAGGAGGGAAGGTCATCGAGATAACTGGCCTGTTTTAATATTCCAGCATTCCTGCACAGAGCCTTCCTTAGCTCTGTCCTGCCCCTGCCAGGGCTGCCAGCTGAGGCACATCCTGTGAGATGCTATCAGTGGATCCTGTAATTTTAGAAAAGGTTGGAGGGCAGGACGAGCCCGGGGATGATTCGGGAGGGGAAGATGAAGCCGGGAGTGTTGACAGCGAGTGTATCTTGTCCTGGCCCCTCCTGCTCCAGCCCTGCAGAGTGATGGGATCTGCTCAGGAGCTCCCCACCACCCTGCTTTCCCACCCCAGTTCCTGTGTGATATCACTGCATCCCTCTCCTACCTGTGAGGAGTTATTAAACTTGGCTCTGTCCTCTCTTTTCCACACTCGGAAGCCCTGTGCTCTCAGATCAGTCAGACAGACAGACACACAGCCCAAATACAGCCTTGGGAACTGGGTATTTCAGGATATTCAAGAGGTCTGGACTGTTTTAGGGGAGTCTTAGATTTGATTTTTTTTTTCTTGAGCCCTAAACCTGCTAAACTTAGTTTTATGCTGCAGGTGAAGACTTGTTGTAGCATGAGCAGGGAGGTGGCACCAGATGAGCCCCTGTGGTCCCTTCTGTGGTTCTGTGAATTTGGATGAAACCACCAGGCCAGGATGGGCCATAGTGCTGGAATTTCCTCCTCTGAGCTCTCAGATTTTAGCCATGAAAGGTCACTGATCTCTGCTTGGAAACCTTCCCTGCTGTAAATGTAAAGAAGCTTCAGGATGCTCCCGGTGCAGCAGCAACTGGTCCTTCCAGGAACTCCCTCTGTTTTTCTCCTAAGGGAGGCAGGAACATCATAATTAGGGGCAATGTCAGAGGTAGGTAAATACCCCCTAATTGTATGCAGATGATAGAGCTCGTTCAACCTTTTGACTAGTGAAGCTTTCCTCAATTTGGGATATTGTGATCCTAATCAGGGACCTTTCCCCACATCAAAGCTGAGCCCGAATCCCTTGGGGCTGGCAGGGCTTGATTGCAGGGCTTCCTGCTCATCCCTGCCCAGGTGTCCTTCCTGCTCTGGACCACTGATTCCTTTCTGCTCTTCATCTCCGAGGCAAAGAAATTTAATCCCAATATTACTGCCAGGCCTGGAATGGACCCAGTGGTTTGGAAATTTCCCCTCTTGTTGCCCTGAGATATCAGTGCACGGCCAGCTCGGATACCTGCTCGTTTCCTTGCCAACCTCTAACCTGAGGTGGAGCAGAGCTGTCATTAGTGCATCCATCTGTGTTTGGATCTGTCAGCTTCCTTCCCCTGCTCCTCTTTTGTTTCTCTAATTACTTTGATTGCATCTCTGTGGCCAGCTCAGGGCAGGCTGTGGGTCCCCATCCCGCTCTGTCGCTGTTCCCTTTTCCACAGGCAGCAGAAGTGGCTCTGCCAGAGGGAAACTGTGCGGTTTGGATTTTAAAATAGTGACTCTGGCTGTGTTTAGGGCTGCAGGGAACACTTATCTGTTACAGAGTGGCCCAGTGGCAGAGCCTGGATTTTCCTACTGCTGGTATCCAGGGATTCTGCTGATCCTGGGCTGCTCAAACCTGCTCTGCAAAGGCTCAGGTGTGGGCAAAGCATCTTCCAGCACCCTTGAAGTGGTGTGGCCTATTCCACAAGGATTTTGGGTCAGATTTTCAGTAAAATGGCAGTGGAATGAGTCACATGCACAACATTCCCTTGGGAACAACAGCTGGACCCGGTGTGTGGATGTGCCCTGGGTCTCCTTCAGCCTCTGCCATTACAGGCTGTGTGTTTAACCAGAGCATTTGGCATCTTGAGATACAAGATAAAATAAAATATTTATGACTGTATGCTTGTCTTTTTTCCCCAGGGGCTGATTAAAATCCGAGGGGATGGCTGCTGGAGAGAGTTAACATGCATGGATTATCACTACGAGGTGAGTGATCTGTGCATAAAACCTCATTTCTCTTGTCTGCTTTCCTTTGGTAAATTAATTTTCCCAGACCTTTCCTCTCCTGCCAGGCATTTCTCCATGTTTTCTTACTCTATCCCAGCCTTCTGGCAGTGCAGGCAGTGTCCACGTGCCAGCTGGGTGATGCTATTTTTCCCAACCTCAGTCCTAAAAGACCAATTTCTCCCCTTCCCTCCCCTCCCCATCACGGATTCAGGAACAAACCTGAGCCTCACTGAGAACTTCACTGTAAAAAATGCTGCAGGGGAGGGACAGAAAGGAGCTTTCTGTGGTGTTGTCCTGAGACCTTCCTGCTTCCACTCCCAAAATGTGGACACATGCAAACAGAAACGGAGCATCCTGGTGCTGTCCAACATGCAGAGCATAATCCTTGGCAGTTCAGAATTCCATGGTTTTATCTTTTTGGCATCTGTTTCAGTGATTATGGTGTGTTCTGATTAGAGACTGTGGGTTGTTTTCTGGCTCTGAGTCTTGTCTCCTCTCTGGTTCCAGAGAAGCTCAGCTTCGGCTTCCCCTCTCTCTTCACCTTTGGGTTTGCATTTGTGTTTTACAGAAATGGGGTTAAGATAGAAAATGCTGTGTATGGTGATGCTCCAGGGGTGAGGAGCCCTGGTTTGGTGAAGGAAACAGTCCTGAAACAATATTCCCTTCTCTGGCTTCACATCACAGCCACTGGGAGTGGCCCAGGATGTTATAACACCTCTGGTCTCTAATCCAAGTCCATCTGACATTTTGGAGCATAATTCCTATTGGGAGCAGCTGAGGGAGCTGGGGGGGCTCAGCCTGGAGAAAAGGAGGCTCAGGGGGGACCTTCTGGCTCTGCAAGTCCCTGACAGGAGAGGGGAGCTGGGAGGCGTCGGGCTCTGCTCCCACGGAACAAGGGACAGGACAAGGGGAAACGGCCTCCAGCTGTGCCAGGGGAGGTTTAGATGGGATATCAAGAGAAATTTCTTCATGGAAAGGGTTGTCAAGCATTGGAAGGGGCTGCCCAGGGCAGCTGGAGGACATGGTTGGTGGTGACTGTGGTGCCTGATCCCTGTGGTGTCCTGATCCTGTGCCCAGGTAATGTGGTGCTGGTGGATGGTTGGACTCTTAGAGGGCTTTTCCAGCTTTAACCATTCCGTGATTCTATGAAGTCTGGAATTCTGCAGATCCCAAAAGCTCCACCTGCCTTTCCAGCTTTAATGCTCCTTTTTTTTGTTGTTCCCATCAGTGACTTTCCCGGGGTTTCCCCCCCTCAGTGCAGGGCTGACCTTGCACAAAGGCTGCTGCTCCCTTGGCTCTTGCAGGACACCAGTGGTCCAACTTCATTCCTGGTAAAACTATGGATGGAAAGACCCTTCAGTGCTGTAGTTCTTAATCCTGGACATGAAGGTGGCTGCAGCAAATTCCCTGTTTTTGCTGGGCACCTGGCAGCACTCTGGGAAAATGCAGCTCAAAGCCAGCCCCCGGCAGCCCCTGCTGACCCCAACCCACAACAATCAGGCTGCACAATCCCAAACCTCTCAAATCAAAACCAGAACCAGTTCTGGAGCCCAGAAGGCTAATTAAGACCATTCCTGTCCTATCCATAAGGCAGGATCCCCAGCCTGTGCAAGTAATTGGGAACAGGGGCAGGGGGCAGAGCACGTTATCAATATCAATTATTTTAATCCGCACAAAAGAAGCTGCAATAAAAGGAAAATGAAAGAGGCCAAACTTTGTCTACCAGCAATAATATAACAAAAATAACAAAGGGCTGCGATTCACCTGCTGGTTTCAACCAGCCAGAGGGAGGAAGAAAAGGGTAAAGCTGAAGATTCCTCTGGGAGGGAGGAAGGGAGCTGGGAATCTGCTCGTAATTAGGATGATAAAACTGAGTATTGGACTGGCTTGAAGTGGACTCGGGCCAAGTGAGTGCTGTGATGTATGTTGGCCACCCCAGCTCTGCTGTTCCAGCCCTGAGCTGGAGTCCAAAACCTACATGGGCTCCTCTGCCAAGAGCATTAATGCAAAGCCACGGCCCCCTCCCTGCGTGGGGAGCGCCCGGCTCTGTTTGTTTGCAGGAGAACCAGGAGCTCTGCTCGTGGAAAAGAACATTCCCACCTTTGTCAGGAGGGGTGGCTCGAACAGTGCTGGGGTGCTTTGGGTAATTAAGCAGAGCGGATTTTTCCTGCCTCTTTCCCCTCTGATGTGTAGTAGGGCCTTAATCCCAGCCTGGCTGGGAGCTGCTCTGTCCTCTGGCCCCTGGCACTGTGTGAGTTGTGGTTTGCACGGGAGGGGTGTTTTCCAACCAGCCTCCTCTGATCCCTGAGGATTAGATGGGCTCCAGTAGGTGTGGAAGAGAAAAGCAGACGCTGGTGGGGATGGAGAAGACTTTGCTGCACCACCAGACACAACTTGGCGCGTGAAAACATCCTGGAGGCTGGGATGAGGGCTGGGGGCTGGATTAATCATGGCTGTGGGTGCCAGGAGTCCCAAACTGCAATCCCAGCTTGGCAAGGCACCACAAACAGGGAATTTCTCCTCCTCCTGCATTGATTTCTTTGCTAACCTGGTCAGAGGCTCCACGGTGGGTGTGTAGGTTTGTGCCCTGGGGCTCCTGATCCCCTGTGGTGTCCTGACCCTGTGTCCATGTTAACATGTCAAAATGGACATGCCTGGGTGCTGCCTGGCAGGTGAAGTGCTGGGGTTTTCCATGCCATGGGTTTTATTTATCCCTCTTTGTGTTTGCTGGCTGTGCTTAGATGGCTCTTTGCCCTACAAGAAATCCCAGTAAAAGGGAGTTTTTTTTCCTCAGTGGAACCTGTTCCTGAGCAGTTGATGCAGAGAAGCTGCTTTTGGGTTTCAGGTCTGTTTGTCATCAGGATTATTAAGCATTTTGATTACTGTGCTCACACAGATTTACAAATCTGTGTGCAGGGTTTGCAGGCTGAAGCTGGAATTCTGCTTCCACTGGAGCATATGGGATGGATCCTAGAGTGTTTGGAGCATGGCACCTGCCAGGGAAGGCAGGCAGCCTTGGTTCCCTGCTCGTGCAAGCAGAGGGCTGTGGCTGAGCGTGTCCCCTGCCCCTGCCTGCTCCAGAGGGATCATTCCCAGAGCCCATCAGCTCCATGCATCAGGGAAAAGTCTGCCATGGAAGGTTTTGAGCCACTCCAGGCCCTTTCTGGAGCCTGCACAGCTTGCAAGACACCTCCCAGGTGTGGGCTGTGAACAGGTCCCAGGTCTGTGAGCCAGGGATGGGATCAGGGAGCACCACCTGGCTCCCTCCTGTGCCAGGCTTTGTCTGGCCCCAGCTTTGCTAATTCTGGGAGTGCTGCTTGGCTGGCACAGGCACAATGTCTTAACGTGCTCCAAATGCAGAAAATCCTCTCGTGTTTTACCCCCCCTCCCCAGCCCTGTGGATCCCAGACCCTTTGGAGCACCTTGAGAGCAGATGTCTTGGCACGGGGCAGGTTTGAGTGGCACAGGCAGGAGGAGAGGAGCAGTTTGGACCCACAGCCATCCCAAGGGGAGCCAGTGGGTTCTTGGATCCTGGTGGTGTTTCTGGCAGAGCAGTTCAGCAGATAATCAGAGTGGCTGGGAAGGTCCTGCGGGGTCACATCCATCCCATCCCGCCGTGTTCCCCCCCAGAAATGCTCCTGGTGGGATGCAATCCAGGGATGCATTTTTCTAATGGCTGCCAGAGTGCTGTTGCTTTTTAATTACAGACAGATATCTTGTAAAACTCAGCCACCAACTGGTCAGGACAGCTGCAGGAGCAGCTGCTGGGGCAGGAGCCCCGCTGGGCAGGGTCTGCTCTGCCAGCTCTGCCCCAAAACCACGCCAGGGCTGCTGGACACATCCAGGGGTCCCTCCTGAGGAACATCCATGGCCTGTCCTCTGAGGAAAGACATGGAGGGGCTGGAGCCTGGTGGAATGTCCTGGGTGCTAGTTAGGGACACCTCAAGTCCAGTTCCAGGCCCCTCAATTCAGGACAGACATTGAGGGGCTGGAGCGTGTCCAGGGAAGGGAACAGAGCTGGGAAGGGGCTGGAGCACCAGGAGCAGCTGAGGGAGCT